ACAGGCTATGTCAGACATCTTGTGACACACCTATTGTTACCATGCATGCTTTTTAAAAAAAGCAAAAGTGTGACCAGAACCTCTGTCAGTCATCTGAGCACTGACAACACTAAATATTGAATCATAATTCAATGTTTTCAAAATCAGGTTTGAAGGGAAGATCAGCTTTTAGTGCCTGTGACCTTCTTCTGAACACTCTCTTCCAAAAGATCCATCAGCATATCCACCACATGTGACAAAAAATCACCCTTTCTGCTGAACAAAACCAACAGCTTTCAGGTGAACTTTGGGAAATGTTTGACAGTCTCCATGGGGACAGATGCCGCTGATTAATCATTTTAAAATAATTTTCCTCCCTTTTCTTTTCCTACAAACTGCCACTAAGGACTCCTGGTGTGGAACCAACACCTTACTTCCCCATGACATGTATAGTTAAGGCACTAGGTGAAGTGGCATTTGTCTGCTACCACACTGCCCCATTTATGCTTATCATAGCAAATTGCAGCTAAGGTGTGTGACACCAGAACTAGATTTGGTGTCAGAATATTTCGGTCATGGGGGAGAATTCAGCTGAGTGAACCTCCACCTGCAATCCAAAGCAGTACAGTCAAAATTCAAGTTTGCCACCTGCAAGAACTAGGCCTCCGATTAAGCTCTTCTTCACAGAGCATCCAACTTGATCCAAAGATCACCTTGACTGGGAAATATAAGCATGGATCCAACCATAGGCCAGAGGAAATTCCTCCATAAAAAGACTGCCTCCACTGTAAGGAGACCCCTGGAACTTAGGTGGTTCTTCCCAGGGCTATTTTTGGGCACAAACGCACAGGAACGGAGTTCCAGCTGGCTCCCAAGTTGGCCACACCCAGCAGGAACTCATTAGCATAATAGGCCACACCCAACAGCAGAAACTCATTAGGATTGGCTACATTAGGGGTGTGTGGCCTAACATGCAAAGGAGTGCCTGCTACAAAAAAGGCCCTGGGTTTTGACAACAAACAAGGTAAACAGAATAAGCAGCAAAAGGTGGGTGTGGCTGGATGAGCATACTTCTGGTAACATGGCATGTGGCCTAATATGCCAATGAGTTGCGCTATCAGAGGTGTGGCCTAATAAACTAATGAGTTTCTGCTGTTGGGTGTGGCCTATTATGCTAATGAGTTCCTGCTGGGCTTTTTCTACAAAAAAAGCCCTGGTTCTTCCATTGGACAAGGTCTCCTTAGGCTGGAGGAAGGCTTCAGACGTTGCTAAGTGGAGTAGTGGGATCCAAACATTTTTCCAAATGTCCCCTAATAGGGTTGCCAGGTCCTCCCTAGCCACTGGCAGGAGATGGGGAGGTAGAGTTGCCAGATACAGGCTGGGGAAACTCCTGGAGATCTGGCAATGGAGCCTGGGAAGGACAAGGACCTCAGTGGGCTACAATACCATAGAGTTCAGGCCTCCAAGCATCCATTTTCTCCAGAGAACTGATCTCTGTGGTCTGGAGTAATTTGGGGGGGGGGTCTCCAGGTCCCACCTGGAGGCTGGCATCCCTACCTTTACAATGCAATCCTTAAACAGGGTTATAGCCTTCTAAGCCCAATGGTTTCAGTAGACATAGAAGGGTGTATCTCTGTTTTGGATTCTATTGCTTGTCAGACAAATTTTGCTGGAGAAGGAAGAAGGAACATGCTTTTTGGGTGGGGGGGGTGTGTTTGCACGGACATGCCTGGAAGTCATGGGCCCTGTTCACACGAGGGGTTTTGGGCCGGGAGCGGGACGGATCGGGGGCGGAGCAAACGGGCGCGATCCCACGGCAACATCTGGGAATCGTTGCCTGCCCGTCCCCGATCCGTCCCTCCCGCCCAAAAACCTGCACTCTTCGGAGAAGAGTGCCTCAAGCCGGCCGTGGGATCGCCGGCACGTCCTTGCGCCGGCGCATCCCCGGCCCCCGGCCGTACTGTGCATGCTCGAACATGCGAAGTTCAGCAGCCTCCCCCTCCCATTCGTCTCAACTTTGGTACGGCTTTTAGAAGCCGCACTTTTCCCAGTGTTTTCCCTGCCGTGTGGCAGGGGCCATGGTTGACTTCTGGTGACCCCTAGTGGGGCTTGGACATTTCAGAGAGCTGGCTTACTATTGCTTTCCTCTGCATCCCAGCCCCAGTATTCCTTGGAGAGCTCTCTTCCAAGTACTTCCCAAGGTTGGCCCTGCTTAGCTTCTGAGATCTGATGAGATCAGAGCAAGGAACATGCATTTTTTAATGAATTGTTCTTTGCAGCTAAATGTGAGGAAGCAGAAAGTGTGCTTTTAGAAAAAGCAGTTTCTGTGAGCGCAGGTTCCAGAGAGCGGGATGTATTAGTCTGTTGCAGCAAAGGGGGGAAAAAGAATCTCATTGTGGCCCATTGACCAATTTTAGTGTAACATGCACCTCCTAGAGCCTACTTCGTCAGATGCATGAGGTGGATGCTCAGTTGTCAGATACATAAATGTTGACCCTGCTGCCTGCAACTTTTTTTCTCTCTAACTATGCAGCTGCCAACAGAGGATCTACCTCATGTATCTGGTGGGCTGCAGTCCATCAACATTTATGCTAGAATTTTTTAAAATGTTGCGGTGGTTAACATGCCACAAGACTCCTGTTTGTTTTACGGCAAAATCAGTGCATGAAGGAGGGTTAATCCCAGTAAATGACCTGAATAATATGATCGCCTCAGGCAGTATTTTTTGTAAAATGTGGGTATGCCTTGCTTATGAAGAATACAAAGTAGAAGAGTCAGACACACAATACTGATGAACTAGATTCACGGATCCCGGTCTTCTTTCCATGGCCTAATTTGTGAGACCTTCCATAGACAACCAGAATGCTAGCTATTAACTGATAGGGTCGACAACTCTTAGAAGACAAACTTCTTGTTCCTACTGGTGCCTGGGGATGGAGGCTTACATGGTCAAGGGACGGAACTCAGGGTCACGAGAACAGGGTCAACAATGCCCAGAACAAGGTTGCCAATTGACTGCCCACAGCGGGCAAGTTTCCACCCCCCACACGCACTCCATTACCCATACTTGCTGAGCTAAACAGCAGGAGAAAAATTGTTTGGTGTAGTGGTTAAGTGCATGGACTCTAATCTGGGAGAACCAGGTTTGATTCCCCACTCCTACACTTGCACCTGCTGGATGACCTCAGGCAAGCCATAGTTCTGGCACAGCTATTCTTGAAAAAGAGCAGTTTCTGTCACAGCTCTCTCAGCCCCACCTACCTCATAGGGTGTCTGTTGTGGGGAGGGAAAGGGAAGGAGTTTGTAAGCCGCTCTGAGACTCCTCCCTGTAGTGAAGGGCAGGGTATAAATCCAGTCTCTTCTCTTCTTCTTCTTTGTGGTCACTATACTGTCACTTCTGAGTGACTATCCACAATACTCTAGGAATTTCCCCAATCTCTATGATATTTACCATAGAGATGGGGAGGATTTGTAGAGTCATACCAGGGGATAGGCCTGGGTGTTTACCTTTCCAGAATCTGCTTCCCAAACGGTCTTGGGGTTTGGCAGCACAGGGCTGACAATCCTAGCTCAGAGGTAGAAGCACAAGAACCCCAGAAAACACCATTCATCTTATACCTTACAAAGTCCTCGTGTTTGCTAGATGATGACACGACAACCATGAAGTAGACGTTCAATGGGAGTTTTGTGCCTCCTACATCAGTACTTATATCACATTGGGTGATTTCCCACAAGCGCTGCTCCGCACTCACTCTTCTCTTTGGCCCGATGGTACATGTTGCTGCGCGACCGCATTTTGCCTCACAGCTTCGTGCGATTTCCCCCGCATCTACTCAATCCTGTTTCACACAATCCGCAGCAGCTTGTGTGAAATTGACACGTACCATCGGGCCAAAGAGAAGAGTGAGCGCAGAGCAGCGCTTGTGGGAAATCACCCATTGTCTGATTTGACCGTTGGTTGGATTAAGAAGAAAGAGCCAAGCTGGAGGCCGAAGGGAGTTGGGCCTGACAGTGCTGTGTCTGCTCAGAATCCTACTCAGGTCAATTCAATGGGTCTTGCTCCCTAGAAACTTTTTTTTAGGACTGCAGTGTGCAATCTCCATTTCAGCTGCATACAGGAATATATGTAAGAACTAGACTTGGTCCCATTTGAGCTCAGTTTTCCCTCATGCGCTCTTCAGACAACCTAAATACATTCAGGTGGGTAGCTGTGTCAGTCCGAAGAAACAGAACAAATTTCGAGTCCAGTGGTACCTTTAAGACCCACAAAGTTTTATTCAAGACAAACATATAAAGATGCTTTTGCAGTGATCCCTTCATTTCATTTATCTTCAGGGCTCTAGTCGGGGGGGAGCTCTCAGGTATGGAGCTCCGGAAGAGAACCTCTAGGGGGTGGGGCGGTCACGTGGTGAAGCCCCGCCCCTTCTTTACCCCGCCCTCTGCTTCGATCCTCATTCCGTTTGGGAATGAGGATGAAGCAGGAGGGTAAGTAGCCGGGCCTTCTGACACACTTCCGGTGATGTCAGGGGGTGTGGCCTTCTGTCACTTCCGGTGATGTCAGGGGGCGTGGCATATGCAAATAAGTTATGCTAATGAGTTATGCTAATGAGCTCCGGCAGCTCTTTTTCTACAACAAGACCCCTGCATGCATGTAAAAGCTTATACCGTGAATAAAACTTTGTTGGTCTTAAAGGGACCATCTAACTCCTACACTGATTTCCTCTTCCCCTCTCTCCTCGTGCTTCAGGCATCCTACTCCTCCCCCCCCCAAAATGTAAGTTGATCTGATTCAACATTTGTTTAGGTCCTTTTTTATTATTATTTCTAAACTTGAAAAACTGCTCCTGGGAGGTGTGAGAAGTGGATTTGGTAAAGTCAATAGAGCCAAACAATGAATACTATGCACAGTCATTTCTGCTGGTTATTTTTTTTCCTGAGATCAAACCTACTGGGTAGATTGTGTGTTTGACCAAAAGCAATTTGACCACTGTGTTTATGGATGGCTGGGTGTGCGCTGCAACTTGACACAAGCACAAATCTGGAATTCAAAGTGCACGCAAAGCAGATCATTTAAAGCAGGTGAGCCCCACCACATGTGCCACACACACACATATAAACAGACAGAGAGACAGACAGCATGACATTAAGGAATTAATCATTTAGAAGACATCGCTCAAAACATTCACATGCTTTACACAATGGGAACACTGAGGTTGAGAGCCCCAAGGAAAACTGTGAATCTGTGACACTGAGATACTACGAGGAGTACGTAACCCAGGAAAGGGAGCCAAGTATATTAAAAGACTTATTCCCTGCCTCTCCCCCCCCCCCAACCAAGTGCATCAT